CTATTTTCTCAGCCAGCAAGTGGTGCTATAATTTGCTGCAATAATAAGGCAGGCAGGCAGGCAGGCAGGAAAGTGTCTTTTGGATTTTGCCTGATTGGGAAACTGGCAAGTTTCCTTTTGTTGTCTGATGCCATCATGGAAATATACAGAGATGCTAATTACCCTAATTGTTTGTGCTTAAGATTTACGTTGTTATACATCACACTTCAAGAGATTCAGAATAATATCAAAGAAAGATGTGTGACTCAGTGAATCCTTGATTCTGAGGTCCAATATATGGAATGTAGTTACTACTAACTCTGGCTTTTACTCCCTGTGTGATCTTAGACAACCTCAAGTTTCTGTCTATACCCACTCATTTAGCAGTGGTTATTTTTTAACGTTTACTGTTTTGCTTTTTATTTGTCTGCATGTTATCATTGCAAACATATTGCCAGCCTTAGGTAATTAAGGACCCCTTAACCAATACATACGTATTTATGTTTCACATTCTCTATATTCTACATGTGTGCTGATTGATTTTGAAGCCAATTGAACAGTTTCTTTACAAGTGAATTCTATTGAAATTTTATGCCTGTAGAAAGGCTGTTCATTCTTGGAGCCATTGTAAATAAGCCCCAGTTCCATTCTCTTCCCTTCCAAGTAGACCCACTGGATGTGTTTAGTTTGCAATGAAAAGTGGAAGAATGCTTAGGGCATACTTTCCAAAAATGTGTTTCTCTGTCAGATGTTAATAGATGTTATTTTTAGGGTTCCATAGTCAAATGAGTTTGTGAAATGGAAGATTAAAATTAGTTAATACAGGTTTTCTAATGGAAAGACTGCTTAGGAAATTTAATATGCTAATGAGCAATTATAAATCCCTGAGAGAGTGATAAAGCATGCAGTTTCTTACTTAGTTGACCATAAAAACCATGATTTTGGCGAGCAGCTCACATGACTAGTTTTCTACAGAACACATTTTCTACAGAAATCCTGATCTTGAACAAGACAAAAAAGAATGTTAAGTAAATACATATGGCAAGAAATAAGAAGAGAAATCAAAGACGATAAAAGTGACACTTGGAATCAAAAGGTGGTATCAGTCTACACATGGAGGTTATGCTGCAGTGACAAATAACCGCAGCATATCAGTGATGTACAAAAGAAAATGTTTACTTTTTGCTCATGCCTCATGTTGATTACAGGGTGGCTGAATGCACTGATCCACATTATCTTCATTGAGAAATGCAGCTGGAAGAGCTTCTACCACCTAGAATGCCACAGATCACCAAGGTAGTGGGAAGGAAATTTGGAGAATTACTTTCGAAACTATTAAGCGCTTCTACCTAGAGGTAACCCATGCAACTTCTCCTCCCATTCCATTGGCCAACTCTAACTTAAAGGACATGGGAAAGTATAATGCTACCATATTTCTAGGAGAGTAACAGAATATTGGTGTTGAATGTTCCTAATGACTACACAGAGACAGAGGAGGGCTGCCTTCCCCTGGTTCACGCATTTTTCTGTCATCCAATGACCCATCCTTGCAGGGCTGTAAAGGCAAGGGCCACCACCTCAAGACAATTCAGAAGGGTAATCCCAGTTTCAGTGGCCTCTAGAGGGGTTGCATGGGGTCTCTGTTAGGTCTACATGACAGCCCAAGCTCCCTTCTGTACAGTCCTCCTTCACCTCCTTTCCACAAGATGTTGTTCCCAAAATCACTCACTAAAGAACTTCTTGCTTGATAATCTCTATCTTAGAACTTACTTTTTTGGGAATCCAGTCTGTTATACTATACAACATATGTCCTTCAATGATAGAAAATATTGTTTTGTGTGTTTTCAAACTTTATGTAAATGGTATAATGCTGTATACACTCAATTTGCTTTCTTCAAATTGTGTTTTTTAAGGTATATTCATATTGACTCACATAGCCCTAATTAGTTTACTTTTAACTGATTTTTTTTTTAAATACCACAAGTTATTTATCTATTCCTTTGCTAGTGAGAATTTGGGGTTTTCCCGATTTTTTACCATCACAGTCTTCTGGAGATGTAACTACTCGTTCACATATACAAGAGTTTTTCTAATACACATATATTCCTTAAAAAAGAATGGCAATAAAATAGAGGATCTGCATTCTCGATTTTATTAGATATTGTAGTTTTCGGGATACTAGTAGAGAATAACATAAATGATAATTCGTTTTTCTGTTTCTGTGAATTGCCTATTCATATCCTTGCCCATTTTTCTCTATTTAATTCTTGTGTTTTTCTTATTAAGTTTAAAAAATATATATTCCTGATATCATTCTTTGTCAGATATACGGTTTGAAATACCTTTCTCTTAGTCTGTGACTTGCCTTTTAACTTTTTTATGATATCTTTTTATAAATAAGCTTTAAATTTTAATGTAGTCAAATTTATTCATCTTTTTTCTTTATGGTTTATGCATTTTCTGTGTTGTTTAGAAAATGTTTCCCTATCTGAAGCCTTGAAAATACTCTGCATTTTTCTTGAATGTATTTATAGTTTCTGCTTTTTACATTTGCGTTATTAATCCACCTGAAATTCAGTTTTTATTTTTGTATGTAATGTAGTAAATACATTTTTGTTTTATACAGTTAGCCAATTGTTATAGCACAATTTTTTCCAACCTGATATTCCACGTTCATTTTTTTGTTTGTTTAAAAATGGGGTCTCACTCTGTTGCCCTGGCTGGAGTGCAGTGGTATGATCGTACTCACTGAAGTCTCAAACTCCTTGGTTCAAGTGATCCTCCCACCTCAGCCACCCAAATAGTTGGGACTGTAGGTGCATGCCACCATATTCAGCTAACTGTTTTATTTTTCCTAGAGACAAAGTCTTACTGTGTTTCCCAGGATGGTCTCAATGACCAGGCTTAACCAATTCTCCCACCTCTGCCTCCCAAAGTGCTAGGATTACAGGCAACAGCCACTGTGCCCACCAGCCCCATACTAATTTGTAGTGTCACTTCTGTAGATATAAAAATGTATGTTGGGCCTTCTGTTCTGTTTAGTGTGTTTGTCTATTCCTACACTAACGTCACTTTGAATTAATTAATATGGCTTCACCATAAATCCTCATATATTAATAACTAAATCGCCTTTCCTTCATTCTTCTTTAAAACTGCCTTGGCTTTTCACCACCTTTTGTTTTGAGTGAGTTCTGGAATCAATTATTAACTTTCACTAAATAAAATTCTCTGTTGGGATTTTGATTGGACTTGGAACAGATTTTTATATATAAATTTGAGGATTATTGATATCTTTATGATATTGAACATTTCCGCTTATGAAAATAGTACCTCTCTAGAGAGATTCCATTTTGCTATAGACATGCCCAATTCCCATGTTTTCTGTGTTGAGATACACTCAAGGGAAAGTAGACATGAAGGAGCAGCCCACACATCTACATGGCTACCCTGTTTTCTCTTTCAGTATAAATGGATTAAACTTGGCATAAATGTGATTTGAAATAAGTGCAGTGCTTTAGGAGTGACTGATGCTACACTGGAGGAGCTAGATAATGCCATTTGAAATTATCTAAAAGGCTGAGAAATTCCACAAAGGAGTTATAATAGAGTCAAGGGAGAGATGAAAAAGTCTGAAATAATAATGTGGGAAAGGCAAAGAAAACATATTGTTCTGCACCACCGTATTTCATAAAGGTTGGCATTCATTAATTCAGTATTCATTCATTAATTAATTCAAGAAATTCAATGATTCATTCAGTAAATATTCATTGAGTACCCACTATTTCCTAGGCAGGTTCTAGCTTTGGGCAGAGTAGGAAACAAAACAAAGCCCCTGACCTTGGTGAACTCATTTAGGGAAGGGACTTACAAAACACTGAGTAGTTACTAAGTACCTACTCCATGAAAACTGCAAATCACTATTTTAGTTCTCAAGCTGATTATGAGAAGACTGGCCATCAGAAAATCACCAAGAGAACAATAATGAATGTCATGGGACACAGTACTAAATATAAATGCAATTAAAAGTGTGAAAGAAAGGTAACTGGTGATTAGGAGTCAAATAGGTTTCTTGGAGGAACTCCGTCTCTTGCTAGACACTGAGATAAAACTCTTCATGCTATGTGAGCAGTCAGAGAGGAACTCAATATTCCTGGAAAGGAGAACCATGTGGGCAAAAGCAGATGAGGTTAGATAAATGGAATGAAGCCAGATAACGAAGGAATCTGGCCACCATCAGGAGTTTAACATGTGGAGGGCAATAACAGGGCCCTCCTCTTCCCCTCTCCTCTTTTTCCTTCTTCTTCTATAGATCTGGAAACTGACCTGATAAAAGCAAAATTGTATCAGTTATCAGCCCAACAATGACATAGAGAAGGCAACAGAAAGTGAAGAAGCAAGGGATATAGTTACTTTGAGCTTGATCCAGTGTGAGAGAATTTGAGATAGGAGAGACAGCATAGACTCTACTCGTGGGATTTATCATCAACATGGGAAGGCAGGAGTAATTTGCCTACTACCAAATGAATAAACACTTATGATTGAGACATCCTGCCCTTTGACTTGAAACCCCAAATCCAGACATGGTTAGGTCTTAAAACTCCTCATGTTTTCTGCAGATCTTCAAGGGCTGGTATCTTTCATGGCCATTCTGCCTATAGCACCTGCATTCATGTGTGTTTCCTCAGTTCTCCCCCTTGAGAAGCAAAAACTCTATCCCTTCATCAGTTTCCATAAAATATGCGTGTTCTCCAAGCATTTTATGAGTTTGCTTTAATTTCCTGAGGAATTGGGAACATGGAGAATAATCACATCAGGCTATACACAACCTCCCAGTGCTCGCTGCTCCACTCTCCTCCTTTCTCCCAAACTTCCATCTCTGGTCTTCATTTCTCCCTTTCTGGATTGCTTGCAAGAGTCTCATATTCTGCTCTCTCCTTTTTTTTTTTTTTTTTTTTTTTTTTTTGACCTCTGAACTCTTTATTGGCCTCCTGCTCCCCAAAGGGTCCCCTGCTTCTGCTGGCTTAATGTCTCAGAACTTTGGTTTCGTTGGTCTCAGACACCACTTTGCCATCCACTGTCCAGCGGATGGTGGTCTTTTGGATGATTTGCATGGAGTTGCTGCTTGTCCAGGACATCACCAAGATTGAAGTCCTCGCCATCTTCCAGCAGGCGACGGTAGGTGGCGATCTCATCCTCCAGCTTGACCTTGATGTTTGGCAAGGCCTCCTACTCCTGTACCTGGTGCTGTCCCTCTGCCCGGGTCTGTGGGAGCTCTGATTCCAGGTGCAGCAGGATCCTGTTGAGCTGCTCCATCTGCAGGGTGTAGCAGGCCTCCACCTCCCTCAGGCTGTGCTCCAAGCTGGCCTTTAGATTTCTCATGGAGTCCAGGTTGATCTCCAAGGACTGGACCGTATGTTTCAGCTCTGTGAGTGTCATCTCAGCAGCTCCAACCTCGGCAGACTGCATGGTGACCACTGTGGTGCTCTCCTCAGTCTGCTGAGACCAGTACTTGTCCAGCTTCTCTTGGTTCTTCGAAGGAAGCTTGTCATATTGGGTCCAGATATCTGCCATGATCTTGGCAAGGTCCTGAGATTTGAGGGCATCTACCTCCACGGTCAACCCAGAGCTGGCAATCTAAGCTTGCAGGCCTTTTACTTCCTCTTCATGGTTCTTCTTCATGAAGAGCAGCTCCTCCTTAAGAGCCTCGATCCTTGTCTCCAGCTGCAGCCAAATGACATTGGTGTCATCAATGACCTTGCGGAGCCCATGGATGTCACCCTTCCCAGACTGACACATGACCAGCTGTGTCTCATACTTGACTCTAAAGTCATCAGCAGCAAAGTTGAGTGTTGTCTATCTGCAGAACAATGTGGGCATTGTCCACAGTATTTGTGAAGATCTGAGCCCTCAGGTCCTCAATGGTCTTGAAGTAATGGCTCCAGTCTCTGACCCGAGGTCCCTTCTTCTCCAGGTGCTCCCATATTTTGCTCTCCAGCTTCTAGTTCTTGGCCTCCAGGCTCCTCACTCTGGCCAGGTAGGAGGCCAGGCGGTCACTCAGGTTTTGTATGGTCTCCTTCTTGTTCTGGATGCCTCCCATTCCTGCCAGAGTCCTGGTCATCCCTGCGGCCAGGCCCCTGGACTCCATGCCACCCCAGAAGCTGGTGGAGCAAGACACAGAGATGCGGAAACCAGAGCCCCCAGCACCTGCATAGACGGTGACCACGCTGCTGACCAGCCAGATGTTTTAGCAGGGCACCTGGACAGAGCCCAGGGCCTGGTAGTTGGTGGAGGAAGTAGAGTGATTGGTGAAGCTCATGCTGTCCCACTCTCCAGAGGAGAGCGAGAGGAGAGGACTTAGGCTTTGCTGACCTCTGCTCTCTTTTTTATGTAGATCAGTTCAATTCTCCTCTACTCCTCACCCTAAAGGGTCATGTCCAAACAAATCAAGGAACTAACAACTTTGTAAGTAAATAAACATACACACACACACACACACACACACACACACACAGACATACACACACACACACAAACTTACACACAAAATACACAGGAAAACAAACCAAGGCAGAAAGATAAATCTGTTTCAGACAATATAGAAAAGCTGTGAATACAAGGGGTATGGTAGTTCAAAGAAGGAAAAGATCAGTCAAGAAGGGTTCAGTAGAGCAGATAAATGTTGAACTAGACCCTGAAGAGAGGCAAGAATTAGTATCATAGAGAGAGGAGGCAAAAGGTCATTCAAGAAAACCGCACAACCAAAAATGAGCATGGCATCTGGGAGAAGGCAACTCTGGACTGGGAAGCTAGAAGCAAGATAAGGCTGACTGGTGCTGGAAATGCCAGACTGTCAGACTCAAGAGCTTGGATTGCATCCAGTAAGAACCAGAAGAAGCTCTAACAAATAGGCTTTGGAAAGCAAGAAAGCTTTGGGAGCGGTCTCAGAAAAAAGAACCAAGGGTCCAAACACTATCAGAATTTTCTGTTTCTGATCTCTGCTTCTTTGTACAGATTGGCTTTAAATTCTTCTCCTGAAAATGTGCTTTCTCTACCCAGGGGCTGGAGTGATTCAGCAAATTTATGGCTCACTATCCATGGAGAAAAGGCTTTTGCCTCTTTCTTCAGCTCCAAAAACTCAAGAGAAGGATTCTATTTGGCTTGCTTGAACCAAGTGCCCATTCCTAGAAGCATCACAGTGTTCAGGAAGGTAAGTTCATGGAAAAAGACAGCAGTTCCTAACGGACCACATAATCAATAAAGCATGACCAGATCTGGAGAAGGGAGAAAACAGAGAATGAAAAAGTGCCTCCTGTCACTTATTCCCTGTGTTTTCTGTTCGTCAAATCCAGACATCACTATTGGAGGAAGAGTTATGAATGAGGAAACAATCACAGTTTGTTTCTAAGATTGGACCCACTGACAAGATTTAGATAAGGAAAATTTATTTATTCCTCAGTAAGTGTTTTTTGTTAACAATCTACTATTCTCTCTCTCTCTCTTTTAGAGATAAGGTATTACTCTGCCACCCATGCTGGCATGCAATGGCATAATCATAGCCCACTGCAGCCTCAAACTCCTGGGATCAAGTGATCCTCCCACCTCAGCCTCCCTAGTAGTTAGGACTACAAGCATGCACCACCAGGCCCACCTATTTTTTTTTAATTTTTTTAAGAGATGAGGTTTTGCTGCTACTGAGGCTGGTCTTGAACTCCTGACATTAAGCAATCCTTCCACCACCACCTCCCAAACTGCTGTAATCACAGGCATGAGCCACAGCATACCTAGCTGACAACCTACTATTCTTAAGTTTCTATTATATCTTCCTTATTTTTCCCTCACTTTTTTTCTAATCTAAGTCATTAGCCAACATTTTGTGTCTTCTTTTAAGCCACCTTAAATTCTTTTGAGGAAAAAGGAAAATATTAAAATCAAGTACGTAACAGCTGTTATGAACCAATTATGTTAAGACATAGTTCTTGTTTTCAAACAGCTCTGAGTCTAGGAGCTATCTGTGTACACTATGTACACAGATAGCTATTACAATGGAGAAAAGTGATAATGCCATTAAGGAGGCATAAATAAAATTCTGTGAGTTCGGAGTTTGCTTTACTATGCTTTACTATAGTATCACTGGGCCAATATTTTAAAGTCAAATAGAATAGATCAAATTAAGAGCTGAAGATATGGCAATGAAAGGCTCTCTATACAGAGGGACAGCTTGAGACAATAGCATTGGAGTGATCAAGAGTAGAATGTGTTCAGAAAACAGTTCATATTTGAGAGGATAAATATGGGACTAAAAGGGGAGTGGGCCAAGAGAAGTGGAACCCTGTCATACCTGTAGCCAGGCGGCATGACAAAGTGACAGTTCTTAATTTTTTATACAAAACTTTATGGGACGTTGTTTACAGGGTGATAGAGGAGGAACTAAGCTGAGGACATCAAAGAGACTGCAAGATTTTGAGGGTGAGGAGCAGGAAAATTAGCAGCGTCTTGGGGCAGATTCATGTTATAAGGTAAGGATCATCCTCACAATGAGATCACTTCCCATTTCTGGAAGAAATTCCAATCCTAATCCCAAGACAGATATGGATAGAGGAGAAAAGCATCTTCTTTTCCTCCCACATTAACCCTTGCAGGAGTTGGTGGTGGCTCTGTGTGGTCTATGGCAGTGGTCCCTAACCTATTTGGCACCAGAGACTGGTTTCGTTGAAGATGGTTTTTTTGGGGTAGGAGGATGGTTTCGGGATGGAACTATTCCACCTCAGATTATCAGGCATTAGGATCATTCTCATAAGAATGCAACCTGGATCCATTACATACACAGTTCACAATAGGGTTTGTGCTCCTGTGAGAATCTAATGCTACAGGTGATCTGGCAGGAGGTGGAGCTCAGACAGTAATATGGGCTCCTCCGCTGCCTACCTCCTGCTATGCGGCCTGTTTCCTAACAGGCCATGGCTGATATCAGTTGCAGGGGCTTGGGGACCCTGGTCTATAGAACCCACAAGTCAAGGAGTCATGAAACCACTCATGGTGTCACTGAGAAGCTCCCATACTTCAAAGATCTAGATAAGAGTGCTTAAATCTGGCCAGGCGCTGTGACTCATGCCTGTAATCCCAGCACTTTGGGAGGCTGAGGCAGGTGGTTCACCTGAGCTCAGGAATTCAAGACCATCCTGGCCAACATGGTGAAACCCCATCTCTACTAAAAATACAGAAATTAGCCGGGAGATGGGTGTCATGGTGTGCACCTGTACCTGTAGTCCCAGCTATTCGCAAGGCTGAGGCAGGGAAATTGCTTGAATCCAAGAGGCAGAGGTTGCAGTGAGCTGAGATTGCACCACTGCACTCCAGCTTGGCAACGGAGTGAGACACCATCTCAAAAAAGAAATGCGTTCAAACCTATAATCCATGCACCATGGAAATTCAAGGCTTTTGGGTCACCCTTGTTGACTGTAGTTGGTTCCAAGATGCAATTTCTTCTGAATTAAGTAAACTTAAACTTTCTATGTGAGTCCTTATACCACATCATGTCAGCTCAGATGGGGGACTCATTGTCTTCCTTGATGGCCGTAAGTTAGTTGTTCACATATGATGTTGGTAATTACAATAGACTTGACTGGAGGTTTGAGAAAAGAAAGGGGGTTCATATAACAGAAAATAGTTTCAAATCAGATTTTAGACATATATATATATAAAGACAGAGTCTTATTCTGTCACCCAGTCTGGAGAGCAGTCATGCCATCTTGGCTCACGGCAAATTCCACCTCCCAGTTCATGTGATTCTTGCCTCCCTAGTAGCTGGGTCTGCAGGCAAGCACCACCATGCCCAGCTAATTTTTATGTTTTTAGTAGAGATGGGGTTTTGCCGTGATGCCCAAGCTGGTCTTGAAATCCCGACCTTAAGTGATCCGCCCACCTTGGCCTTCCAAATTGCTAGGATTACAAGAGTGAGCCACTGCACCCAGCCTAAACATATGTATTATATAAGCCTCCAATCATCCCATGACTACAGGATTTTCAAAGGCCCCTTTACTTAACATAGTGCCCAGTCTTGCTCCAACTCCCACTGCGTATCCCCTTTTCATATCTCCCATTTAGAATTTCTCTTGAAAGCTTTCAAACTCTTCTCTCTATTATAATGAGCAGTATTTTTCAATCATGGGTGATACCTCCCTCTGCCCTTGACACACATTGACAAGGGGTGATTCAGCAATGTCCGGTTTGGTTGCCATAACTTTGGGGAGATTACTACAAGCAACTCGTGATTTGAAGCTGAGTATGCTGCTTAACATCCTACAATGCACAGGACAGCCAGCCACAATAAGGGACTATCCAATCAAAAATGTCAATGGATCCAAGGCTGCAAAACCACAATATAGAGCAAATCAGTTCTCTCCATACTCCATATTTACAGATTCTTCATCTTTGTATGATTTCAACCTATGAAGCATCCACTCCATTTTATCAAAGGAGATTCCTGTTACAGCACACAATGACAAATGAGACCCTAAAGTTTCCTCTAACATGAGCTGCCCTTCTAAGTTATGGTTTTAAATGGTATATTTCCTCAATACATATAGAATAAAGTTCTCATCCATACTCAATTATACTTACTCTGCCAGGAAGAAAAAGAGAGAAAGAGGAGAGTGTAAATAGTGTGGGTGATTCTGTCCCACGTTCCACTAAAGCATATGCCCCAGAGGAGCGCGAGAAGGGAGATGTGAATCTGATGTTCCTTCAGTTGGTCTCTGTTCCTGAATTGCTCTCATAGTATGAGCATCTCACCATGCTGACTGTGATTCAAGTATTTAAAGATACATTTTTTTTCTTGTACAACATGGCCCCCAAATGTAAGCCAACTACTTTATCAGGTGTTTAGCTGAGAAAACAGCAATCTGTTCCAATGCTGGAGGAAAAACTGGCTGAGTTGGATGGTATAGAAGCCTCAAACATGGTGCGTAAAAATGGCCATGTATATTATACTTTAAGGGTGAATGAAGGAATTTTTTTCACAGGGTATTTCTGCATTTTTTTACCTCACCTAATGATTTTAGAACCAAACTCGATGTAAAATGCAACTCCATATTACCAGGGAGGAGGGTCTGGGGGGGTACTGGAGAAGTAGAGGTACTGGAATAGAGCCTTAGGGATATTAAAGGTTGGAATGAAGATAAGAAAGAGAAAAGAAAAGAAGGAATGGTGAGCAGACATCAGAAAGGCAAAAAGAACTGAAAGATCACACTGCTACTTTATCAGTTTTTAGGGACATCTATTTGATAACTGAATGAAAAGTTTGCTAATTTTATAAAA